TCTGCATTTTTAGGAAGTAGTAGAAATTCTTTTTTTCTCGAACACCATCCCAGCTTCAGAGTAAAGCGCTCTGAATAAACACTACTTCCTGGCGCCGACAAATATTTTGCTGCAATCTTAATCAAACACGGAAATTCAATTTTCCTTGCTGCCACCATGTATATGGGTTGTCATGACGTGATATATTACTAATATTTAAGAAAAGATCCATTTCTGTTGAAACTGCGTTTGACTGAATTGCACTGCAAACAAAGGGGCGCGAAACAATCACGTTTGTACAAGTTTTTGGCGCTAAAATCCAGCCGGATACTTTTGCCTAATATTCAGCTATTCAGTCAGGGGCCTCGCCGAATATTCGGTATACTGCCGAATATACTATTCGTTGCAAGTCTTAATTATTACCAAAATTGAAGCTAATAAAAAAAAACAAACCCCTTCTTTGAAAAACCTTCTTATATGAATTCAAAGTGAGCTATTGGTAATTGTATGTATATTTTTTTTCGACGAGTACTTAAATCTAAGTTTCCAACCCTAAATAACGGGAAACCGATGCATTTTGATGAATGGTTGGAATGAAGGGTTTATTTTTCGTTTTCCTAAAAAAAATAAGTGTTATCTTATTTTTATCATAACTTTTTCAATTTTGAAGTTATAAATTTTTACAGTACTCATTATAAAGGTATTTCTGAGGAATTTAAAAAGTGCTCCGGAACTGTATGTCATAAATTCATCGGTTTCCCGTTTGTTAGGTTTGAATACTTAGATTTAAGTACTTGCCGAAAAAAAAATATGTACATACAATTACCTATAGCTCACTTTGAATTGAAATTAGAAGGTTTTTCAAAGTAGGCGTTTGTTTGTTTTTTTATTAGCTTCAATTTTGGTACTAACATTTTTTTGTAAAGCTCATAGTTTTTGAGTTATTTATGAAAAACCGCTTAAACATGTATTTTTATAACGCAAAATCACAATATTTTATCTTTAATAACTCAGAAAGAAAGTATTGATTTATTCCGAAAACTTAATATAACAAATTTTACTTAGAATTTGTCTTTCTATCGATTCCTGGAGTTATTTTTATTAAAATAATTTTCAACCCCGAGCAGGGTTGGTATCTACCCTCAGGGCAAAAGCGCAAGTTGGCACTATGTCACTTTTGTTTTTTATGGTATCCCCCATCTACTTACCAATTTTATTGTAATTTAATGTCAGCTACCTACTCTTAAAGTGCCAATAATTAGGGAGTTTACCCTACATTCTAATGTTTTCTTTTCTATTAATTTAATTCAAAATGATTAAATGAAATTGGAACGATATAGCCCACGGTTGTACTGTTGTAGTATAATCGTCATTGTTTAAATTGATTTTTGATATATTTATTGTCTCTGGTAGGTACGATTAATTTTATTTTATAAATAAGTTTTTTTTGTCTTACAGCTTCAAATAATATTTTTTTCAAATAATACTTTGGAACAATGTTAGGAACAACTAGAACAACTTGGAACAACTAAAAAAATAATGAATTTCCAAACATGGGGGGCTATCTCAAAAACGGTTTTTTTTGCCTGACAGCTTCAAATTTGAGTTTTTTCAAATAATACTTTGGAACAATGTTCGGAACAACTAGAACAACTTGGAACAACTAAAAAAATATTGAATTTCCAAACATGAGGGGCTACCATAGAAAAACGGTTTTTCTTGTCTGGCAGCTTCAAATTTTAGTTTTTTCAAATAATACTTTGGAACAATGTAGAACAAACATAGAACAACCCAGAACAACTTAGATAATAATAAAATTCAAAAAGTGGGGGGCTAACTTCACAGAGGTGTGTAAATCTGCTCAAAATCTAGCTAAATAACTACCCGTTGGATCTGAAAAATTTACACCATGCTCTGAACACCACTTTAACCACCTCAACCACGCTGGGGTATTAATAGTAGAGGATCTCCAACTACCCTGAAGAAGACTTTTTTGCTCCTCTGACCAATCACCTAACGATTGAGACCACCTCCACATCTTCAGATCTCCAGAACCAAATCCTCTACCCGTGGTGGAGGTCGACCCGACGCCATGTCTATCAAAACTCTCCAGTCGTTGAATTGTGAAAGGTGGTGCGATTGCCTTCCCCTTCAAGTCTGCCCTCCAGAACGCCTGTTTCCATGTGGGTCCAACTATCAGGTATATGCCTTGTGCATAAGAACTTGGGGCATTAAGCTTGGTGGAGGAAACACCCACGCCAGCTTGAAATCCCACTGAATTACGAACGCATTGTGCCTCCAAGCTTGGCGATCTTTTTGATGCAATGTTACATATTGAGGCACCACGTGCGCCGTGATGGACGAAAATAAGTGGACTTGTGGAACCCGCCACTTCGCAAATACTACCTTCGTTACTTCCGGAAGCAGATGCCATTCCGATATCCTCGATCTTTGACGTGATAGACTGTCCGACACATTGTTGTAACGACCTAGAATATGATAGGGGCTTATGTGAATGTCGTATTTTTGTAACACATGAAATGTCTTGAAAACAAGTTCTAAAAGAATTTTGGACTTGTTCCCACCTTCGTTTCTGAGGTAAGCCACAACTGCTTTGTTGCCGCATTGAATCAAAAGTGAGGTACGATTCAGAGAGGGAGCGACTTCTGTAAGACATTTGAAATTAGTCAGCATTTCTTTGTGATTCGAATGATAACGCTCTTCTTCTTCTGACCAGGTTCCTCTCAGGTGAATCCCATTCAGCTCTGCAGCCCAACCGGTATCTGCTGCATCTGTAACCAAAAAGCTCTTTGCTAACGGTGGGTGAAGTCTGGCTTTTTCCACACAATGCTCTTTCCACCACTGCTTTTTTCCAAAACCTGTGCGGGAAAGGGGTAAGTACCCTGAACCGGTAGTTTCAACACAATTTCTGTTAGCCAAGAGATGACGAAAATTTAATCGACCCTTTGGTACAAATAGTCGTGCGAAATTCAAAACGCCGATGATGCTTTGAACCTCCCGCAGTGACGCCTTTTTCCGCTGAAGAAATTTCAACGTAATCTTGTTCTCTGGCAAAAACTTGTGGTTGTTCCAGGGATCCCAAATCAAATCAACATATTCTTTTATCTTTTTTGGCTCTAAGATGGATTTTTCTTCGTTGACCTACCAACCCAACTGTTCTATAATCTGTATAACGATATTCCTGTGCTTTATCAGCACGTTCCGGTCCTGAAACAAGTAAATAATCGTCCAGAAAAACAACTAATCGAATCCCTAGTTCCCTGAATACCTCTGCTGTCCAATTTGTCAGCAAAGCGAAAACTTTTGGAGCTGTCGCCAGACCAAATAGTGAACACGTCATTTGCAGGAGCTGGTCTTGATAAATGAGGCGTAAGAAACATCGATGTGATGGCGCAATATTCACGTGATGATAAGCTTGTTGGGGGTCGAGTTTGACCATCCAATCTTCTGTTTGCAAAAACCCCGGTATACGATTTACATTTTTAGGTAATTGTTCAACGCTTTTAGGTACCGTCGTTTTTCGGAATTAGAAAATGATTTGAGATAAAGCTGAATTGTGTGGTCGAAAAATTTTTTCCACCTAGCAAATCTGCGTTTAAATTTTTTTGATTTTTTGCCCAATCTATAATATTATTTATACCAAATGTCATAGCATCGCTCTGCATAACTAATGCATGAGTTAGGGCAACTAAAAACTTATCCGACCCAACCAAATAATTAACTTTATCAAAACGTTGTATTTCGTCATTTACTTCGAGGTCAGTATAACCAGGCGAAGCGTTGTATTGTTTCTGATAATCACTGTATCATCTTACATTATACCAATTTTTATCGTTAAAATATTGCAATGAATTAATAACATTCAAATGTTCGTCGGAAGTAACTGACATCGAAGGTTGTCGCAGATGTGATGCCAAAGTCAAGTTAAACAATCGGTGATTTATGGCTCACGTGCTTCATGCATATCAAAATTATCATCTTCAGTTGGAGCATTCAAATTATTGTAAAAATTATTATGAGGGTAGTACATAAAATTTCATAGTTCACTGACCTGTTTGGCGAGGTGTTTTAATACATTGCCTTGTCTTCGATGACGCTTATTCCTCCTCCTCTTGCTAATTATCTTTCTCTTGCTAAACTGCTCCACCTCTGATGATCTCGAAGATTCAGAGGAAGATGACGATTCCGACGATGTTTAACATAACACATAACGACTGTTAACTAGTTATATATAATTTAACTACGAAAGTTAGCAACGTTTTTCTTGAGATGTTTATTGCTCCGAGAACAACACGCCAATGAGTGCAAATTTCTGCAAGGCTCGATCTGGTGAACGAGAGTGGCGGGAAATTACATCATCTTCACGTGACCCGCCGTTCATAGAGCAAATGAGTTATGTTCAGCCTACTTGTCTATGGAGATGTATGACCGAAAACGCAAGATGCTAGTCTCAAAATTATGTTTACATACAGGGTCATGTAGGCCGTAGGACACAATAACTGTATTAAAAATGAAAACTATTGTGAAATGTCGTTGACACAAGATTATTACTTTATCTTAGCAGAATACGTATCGGTTTATTGTTTATCTTATACTTATGGCGCGATTACACTTGGTTGTTAACCCGAATACGAGTGCCAATGGAATACGGGTAAACGACTTAAATGTAAATGAACGGAGTCGAGTACTGCCTGCTACTGTTTACTCGACAACATGTTTCAGAAAAAATATTGCTTTGGGTGCCCGAATTCGAGTAATGTCTTTCGTGCACCTGAATACGGGCTAATGACCAAATGTAATTGCGGCATTACATTGCTTGAGGCGACTTAAAAATGCACCGATCTCTGAAGCAGTCGCTTTGATTAACGCAATATACTGACATAATAGTGCCAAAAATATGTCAGCCTTCTAAGTTGTGTAGGATAATAGATCATCTTTAAGCGGAAAGGGCTTACTATTCTTTATACAATACATCTAATTATATATATTTTTCTAATAAGGTTGAAGAAGAAGTATTAGAATCGCTAGTATGGACATCAGACAGTCCATTGTGGGAACAACTGAGTAAAACGCCCGTCCCGCCTTCTGCCGATGTATACGTGCAAGAATCACCTCACCATAAAAGAAATAACAGTCTGTATTTGCTCAAGAATTGCTCAGTTTTAATGCAATAACCGTATTTTATAATATAGGTTTATTTATTGTTTCACAGACAGTATTCAATCTCCCGTGTCGACGGCGATCGATAGGATATTTACACCCATGGCTGACCACACAAAGAGACAATTGTTCAAAGACAATATAAAACCAGGACAGTCACTTTTAGGTAAAACTACATTAAAATATAATCTTATAAATGCTTCTTAAACTCAAAATTAATTTAAGTTGCCATGTATGGTATATAAATTAAAATCTGCTTATGAGATTCTTATATCTGTTACCTCCTCGAGAAGTATTTGATATTATGTATGTATCTGATTTTCAGTTAATGTAGCCGCTAAGCAAGAGTCAAATACAGTGCAGAGTTTAACAAACATATCTAATGAAGAACTCACGCCAACGTCGACACCTAAGAAAGCTAACAATTCGCTCATACTATTCTTCAGAAAGGTAAGGTATCAAATAAACAGGAAAATACCTTGGGCTGTCTGTCATGCTTTTACTTCTATAATCTTTTGTTATTTTGTAAATGCTTATTGAATCTCCACATTTGAGGTCTTTAGTGGTGATAAAGAAAAATGTTTGTTTTGGGCATTTTTGAGGGTCCCTTTTTGCTTTGAAGAACAAATTATCGGAAAAAAGCAGAAAGGATCAAGAATAAGTAAAATTATATTTTATGTATGACAATCAGTTCTTTGGTGACAAAAATCAAGGAGAAATCAGCCGAGAATGTGTGTATGGAGCAAACATTGCCCGTCTCGTCTCCCCATTCAACACTTAGAGGCCCTTTTGGGCCGCACTCGAAAAAACATTGCACGGTCGAACACCAAGCAGGAAACCCACGGGACTATAAATCGTTTTTTGAGATGGTTAGAGTCGACTTTTGTATAAAGAAGTTTAACCAAAGACTAAGTAGGATTAATTTCCTATCTTCAGAGTTTCCGCCTCATCTGTGTAGTTTTTTTTTCGCGTCATTGAAAAAGTGAATTTTTTTTTGGTCGAATTGAGGTTACGTGTATATTTTTTTTTTATGGTAAGTGCATATTTTTATAGAAAAAGTGTTACAAAATGTGTTATTCTGCATATAATATACCTTTATAGTTAATTATCTATTGGATAATTATTGCAAACAATTGTATGCATCAAATATATTGTAATAATAGCGATGTTCAAATTCAAAACTGACTTTATTAGCTTGTTTCAAGTGATTTGTGATGATGGAGTTTCGTAAATACAAAAATATTTACAATATGCAATTGAAACTCCTTTACAGTTGTTTTTATATCGTTTATAATAAATATTTGTTAGTAATTTCTAAAAAATTACGGAATTCCTGTGTACAATGGACCAAAAATGGCGTATCGTCTGTCAATTCCTAGCAAGCTATTTTGACTCGCATTTGTTCGTCGATACGGACGTAGCTCACTTGCAGTCGAATTGAAATTCTTATCGTATGCGTATTTAATAGATACGAAACGTATCGATAGTAACAAGATAAAATAATGAATTGTCAATAAAATAACTGTAATAACAAAGTTATTATAACTGTTTTAGTGTGGTAATTTTACATATAACAAAATAAAATAAATTCATGCTGTAAATGTGGTTAAAATGGTTTAGTAAGTAGTAGTTTTCTTTTTATTTGTATTTCATAGTGTCTTCGTGGCGCTAAGACCAGGACTCACCCGCCGATTTTAAGAGGCTGCTCACTGGACATAAGGAGAGCGGGGAGCAGCAAATGAGTGATGCAGCAGAAGATACTTTCAATTTTTCGTTTTTAGTATTGTATCAATAAAAATAACTCAAGAATGAGAGAACAAACTTTATTTCTATTGATATAAGCTATTTTGCGTTTTGGGTATCTTACCAATAAAAAAAACCTAAAGAACGTAAAGAAAATCTTTTTTTCCACAGTTTTAGGTAGTTTTATTTCCATCTATATTTGTTAAGATCCAGGTTGATATGTAGAAATTATTACATTATAAATCAGTATAGTTGTAGCAATGATATTCTTACTCTCTTATTATGTTGTCAACAGTTCTACAGTTTAGCAGTAGTTCGCATGAACGATCTGTGCACGAGACTACGGCTCACTAGCGACGAGTTGAAGCGCAAGATATGGACGTGCCTCGAGTACTCCATCATGCACCAGACGCAGCTGATGCGCGACCGCCATCTGGACCAGATACTGATGTGCACCGTATACGTGCTCTGCAAGGTATTGTGACACAAATACTGCGGTATTTTAGCAGTGCTTCTATAAAGATCAGTGCCCAAGACTACGGCTCACTAGCGACGAGTTGAAACGCAAGATATGGACGTGCCTCGAGTACTCCATTATGCACCAGACGCAGCTGATGCGCTACCGCCATCTGGACCAGATACTGATGTGCACCGTATACGTATACTCTGCAAGGTATTGTGACAGCGGTATTATAGCAGTGATCCTTATAACGTTGTTGATATAGGCGGAAGAAAATATACTTTATTTCTATGACTATATATCGAAATTCTGAATGCACTGTTAGCAATATAGCATGTACGGAGCGCGAGGAAAAGAGACTGCTATATATCCGACCATGCATTGGAATATCACAAATATTTTCTATTAAATCAGTTTATAGTAAGTATTAAAGCTGCGAGAGAATTTGCTACAAATGCGTTAAATTAACAAACATTGCTTAGATACATGTTGAAAAAACGACACTATGTATTTACAAGTATTTTTTTCACGGAGCTCTGCGGCATCTTGACTTTTCAACGGTCCGCGCGTGACTTGGAACCAGTGTTCAAGCATTTCTTGATTGGGACACATTTTGACTAGGTGACATGATTTTGTGAAGATTTTGTATATCCCACTTTCATATCGTTAACATCACAGTGTCATATGGTATCAATACAATATGATAAATACTACAGATATACCTGTAAGTTTATATAAAGGTGCCAACATTAACTTTATCCATTTATTTGCCTTTTAGAAATCTTATATAGGTTATTTAGTTTTCTACTAATTTGTCGTTTTTCTTGTATAATGTATATGAGAAAAACCACTTTAAATAAATTCCCTATCGTTTTCATAGGTAAAGCTTAAATTCTCTATTTATAACGATTATTTTGTTTAATGAGTTCATAACTTAAAAATTATATATAAATTAATTAATCAGTGAAAAAAGTATCGACGACCTCCGTGACCGAGTGGTTTGTACGCCGGGTTTCATGGTGTCGCCGACTCGAGAGGTCCCGGGTTCAAATCCCGGTGGGGGCAGATGTTTGTGTGATGAACACGAGCATTTGTACTCCAGTCATGGATGTTTAATATGTATTTTCTATATAAATATATTTATATATGTACTGTATATGTATTCTATCCGTTACCCTAGCATCCCATAACACAAGCCTTACAGTGCTTACTTTGGGGCTAGGCTAATTGGTGTGAGTGTTGGTAATATTTATTTATCCTTGTTTACTTCTACTAGAAACCTTAAAATGTTTACTATTATAATGACGTTTTCAGTATCTCTAAAATATTCATTTTCCACTCTTTCAGATATCACACAATGCAAATAATCCTGTAGATAGAACATTTGCAGAAATCATGCGATGTTATAGGCAAAGACCTTTAGCAGATAATCATGTTTATAGATCCGTTTTAATTACTCCAGCGAAAGGAAAAAGTAAGTATAAAACATTTAATTGAAGTAGTAGAATATAATCTTGAACAATAGAAACCAAGCCAATGAATTTCATTACTAGCGCTCTTTTTTTCTTACGTAATAAAGTCTATTGATGATGATTTCGATTTATATTCATAGTATTCACACCTTGACTGTCATGAAAATATACGTACTGGTACGCAAAATTTCACATTTTTATTATATAAAATTTTAAGTACATTTCATCATACCATTTCTAACATACTATTTAATTAACGACTTCGTTAAATATTTAATGCCTTACTATTTTGTTTGCAGCTCCTGCGGAGAAAAGTGACTTAATTAAATTTTATAATAAGGTTTATGTGCAATGTATGCAAGATTTTGCACTCAGATTTGCTGGAAAACAGAGAGATGTAAGTATTTTTTATTCAAACTTAAATAAAATTTAAAAGGTTTACTTGCATGCACAAATTAGTTTGCGCTATGCTATAGAAATTAGAAACTAGGAGACACGATGTTACCCACCATGCGTTGAATGTAACCAATAGGTTGCCAGAACCAATTTGACAGTATAACAAATAAAGTACCCATTAGTGGCAGGTGTATTGAACATGAATATGGGGAGATATTTCACTATTCTGACATAAAAAAAACAACAAATAATGAATTGATATATTACAAAAAAATCATGAAAAAGAAAAGTATTTTTGGATCTATTGTCATTTGTCATGTGACCGAAAACGCCTAGGATTGGCGGGTCCTAAAATGACGTCATCTGCTTGTAAACGTAACATTATTTTGTAGTCTTTGACGTCATAATGAGCGCCGTGTGACGTCACCTGCCTATAAGACGCCATATTTACTAGAGAGACGTTTCTGCGGCATATTTTTAAAATGAATTTACATTTTTACTGATATATGCCACTAATTATAAATATTTTTAAGGAGTCTAATAAATAGGGTTGAACTTTTTCAATGGTGGATTTTGTACAGTTTACTTGTACATAAAAATTTGCTAACACCGCGAACGTCACTCAGACCGCGTCAATGACCCGCGTTTACCTAGAGTATCATATTATCATAATTATAAATTATTATTTCTTTATTTAAAGACAGCGCAATTAGAAACGCGAACTAATTAACACACATTAGAGACAAGAATAGCCTACACCTTAACTATAACTTTGTTTATAATTTAATCTCCGAAGTTATCTCTCTTTGATCTTTTTCTCCTGCACTCCAATTAACTAAATCTCATTAAAGGTGTACAAACTGTACAGATTTATAATTGACTATTTTGCTTTAAGCTCGTAAGTTCTAATATATAATGTTCGAATCCCGTATGTAGAATTTACTTTAATAATTTTTATCCGTTATGTCAAAATTACGGTTCACAAAAGACAACTTGAATTGGGGAACTCCGGGAAGACGGTGTCGGTTAACTAAAATAAAAACTACCCGAATACATGCGTACTCGACTCCGTTCATTAACACTTAGCCGTGTACCCGAATTCCATTGCCACTCGAATTCGGGCTAACGACCTAGTGTAATCGCGCCGTAAGTATTCCATGACTTGAACCAATGTTTACTTTGGGGCTAGGTATACAACATCCCAGAAAACTTCCTGAGTAACGACCATAGTTAAGGGAGCCTGCGCATACAAAACACATACAAACACGTTGTTTGTGGTTTTCTGGAGAAGTTACGCAATACTCAATTTTTGTTTGAAATTTTAGCTGCTTGTGTGAGTGTGGTCGCGTGCAATGTATGGCAGTTCGGTGACGTTTGATTTGGGGGCGTGTTACACGCTTGGCACAAGTGAGTGCCTTGTTATCGGTTTTTAGAGGAAGTGCTCTGTGGGGCTATGCTAATTGGTGTGAGTTTTAGACATTTCTTAAAGCTGTTGGAGTGATGGGCGTCAGATGCATGTTATTAAAGCATGTGTTTTGTTTGCAGGAGTGCGGGCTCTCGCCACTGCCGGCGGGGCGCGGCGCTGCAGCGTGGTCGCCGGCGGGGCAGCGCGTGTCTGAGCGGCACCAGGTGTACGTAAAGCCGCTCACCTCCCCGCCCCCCCACCACCACCACCTCACTTACCGCTTCAGCCGCAGCCCTGCCAAGGTATGCCACCCATTTCATCTGTACTGGTACATAAATTATATAAAAATACTTACTAGCTATGCTCCGCTGTAACACCCGCAGTTTTTTGATCCAGTTTGTAATAGGCTAGTTTACTCATGTCGAATTCTATTAAATAAATGTTTATTTCTTAAAGTATTTAGTCTAAGGAACCTTAATATATCGATTTCACTTCATAAAAGCAGAAGATTGCTGTAGAAATTTAATTTTTAAAAAAAATTTTTAGTCTATATTTTTTAAACACTAAAAACGCTGTTCGCCACATCCGCCATGATTTTGACGTCTCTTCTGGTAAACAACTAAATGTCATTCGCGTGTTACTGTAGGTGGATTCTTTCGTCTGACTAAATTTATCTTAAAACACTTTTAACTTTAGGCAAAAAAAAACAGTTAACTAAGTTTTTTTTTGACAAACCTAATTATGGATGCCGGCTTTGTGAAAGCAGAAAGCACAAATCTGCCAAGAATTGACGCATTGATGGTTGGTGAATTTGTTCCACTAAACACCGATTTCTGCTCTGCGGAGCAGAGAAACGACAAGGCATCTATGTAAGTACAGTGCATTTAGTATTAGAATGTAGTAATAAACATAAAACTGATACAACATATGAATAAGTGTTATAAAGTTGCGTAGGTCAATTTCTTTCGGCACTTTAATCCACAACTTTCCTGGAGTCTACAAGGATGTGTTTTTATATTCTCGTACAATACAGTAATGATAATTACTTTATTTTTCGAGGTATTTATTAGAAATCATGTTTTTTTTTATTATAAACTCAGTTAAAAGTAATTTTCTACGTGTTTACGAGTTTTTGTTTACCAGAGTTCACGTCATAGCATAGATAATCTATAGACTAAAATGGCCGACAGCGTTTTTGTATGTCCATGAAAAGTCTATTTTAAAATTAAAGATTTGTAGCTTTCTAGGTTTAAAAAAAATACAATACATTTTTTTTCGGTCTAATAGAACATTTATTAACCATTTAAAACCTTTTTCCAAAAAGGGTCAACTAGCCTATTGGCGTGAAAGTTCGTGATGTGGATAATTGAAATCACATGATTAAAGAAGCCGAACTCGCGGCCTGTCGCTGCATTAGAAACGTTTCTCTGCGTAGACGACAGGCTGCCAGCGCTTTTCCCACGTGCAAGGTTAATTAGGTGGTACTTTTATTTATCCAGCAGTTCGCACTGCATATTGTGTCTTGTGGGTCGGCTAAAACTCAACGCCCTTTATCTTGGACTCTTCCGGAATCTGGAAGAAAAACTTAGAAACTTATATTGTGATGTGTCAACAGGATCTACATGCAATCAACACGATGGTATCCTGCGAGGTGGGCGGCGTGAAGCGCGCGAGCGTAGTGACCGGCGCAAGTACGGGCCCTACCGGGGACGTGGTGAAGCGGGCGCGGTACGCCACCGCTGGCGTGGCGCGCAAGCTGCAGGACCTCATGTCCGACCGCCAGGCCGTGTGGTAAGTGGGGTGGCAGATCGGGCGCGGTGCAGCACCTCATGCCAACCACCAGGCCGTGTGGTGAGTGGGGTGGCAGAGAGGGCGCGGTGCAGCACCTCATGCCGACCGCCAGGCCGTGTGATGAGTGCGGTGGTAGAACGGGCGCGGTGCAGCACCACATGCCGACCGCCAGGCCGTGTGGTGAGTGGGGTGGCAAAGAGGGCGCGGTGCAGCACCTCATGCCGACCGCCAGGCCGTGTGGTGAGTGGGGTGGTAGAGCGGGCGCGGTGCAGCACCACATGCCGACCGCCAGGCCGTGTGGTGAGTGGGGTGGCAGAGAGGGCGCGGTGCAGCACCTCATGCCGACCGCCAGGCCGTGTGGTGAGTGGGGTGGTAGAGCGGGCGCGGTGCAGCACCACATGCCGACCGCCAGGCCGTGTGGTGAGTGGGGTGGCAGAGAGGGCGCAGTGCAGCACCTCATGCCGACCGCCAGGCCGTGTGGTGAGTGGGGTGGTAGAGCGGGCGCGGTGCAGCACCACATGCCGACCGCCAGGCCGTGTGGTGAGTGGGGTGGCAGAGAGGGCGCGGTGCAGCACCTCATGCCGACCGCCAGGCCGTGTGGTGAGTGGGGTGGTAGAGCGGGCGCGGTGCAGCACCTCATGCCGACTGCCAGGCCGTGTGGTGAGTGGGGTGGTAGAGCGGGCGCGGTGCAGCACCACATGCCGACCGCCAGGCCGTGTGGTGAGTGGGGTGGCAGAGAGGGCGCGGTGCAGCACCTCATGCCGACCGCCAGGCCGTGTGGTGAGTGGGGTGGTAGAGCGGGCGCGGTGCAGCACCACATGCCGACCGCCAGGCCGTGTGGTGAGTGGGGTGGCAGAGAGGGCGCGGTGCAGCACCTCATGCCGACCGCCAGGCCGTGTGGTGAGTGGGGTGGTAGAGCGGGCGCGGTGCAGCACCACATGCCGACCGCCAGGCCGTGTGGTGAGTGGGGTGGCAGAGAGGGCGCGGTGCAGCACCTCATGCCGACCGCCAGGCCGTGTGGTGAGTGTGGTGGCAGAGCGGGCGCGGTGCAGCACCACATGTCCAATTGCTATATTTATCCTACTAAGGGATTGCGCAATGACATGAAACTACACGCAAAGCGAACATCTGATCACTTAACGCAGCGCTTGCCCTAAGTTAAGCTTAAGCTTATGTAGGTAATATATCCCTAAATTCGTTTACATTGTGAATTTCCTTTTACAGATTGCCTCAACATGTCGACATCAATCACAGTTTACATGGAACAGTATAATGAAGTTCTTCACAAATTATTTAAAATTGTATAGTTTGCTCATCGCTCTCTAACTCGCACTCCAATTTAGGTGACTTTTGACGACAAAATAAATAAATCAATTTTATTATTTTATAATTGGATGACAAAACAAAATCAAAATTAGAATAAATAAAGAAAACTTACATATTTTATTTTTAACTCGCATAAATCATTAGAACTTATCTTTAGTATATGAGCGCCAAATAAAATGATTACCGCATAATAGTTCTATGATAAAAAATTTTCAATAACCCGTTTAGGGAGCTTATTCCAGAACATGACGCAAAATACAAACCATTAAATTTTTAAACAATTATAATTGAATCACTTTATTTCAAATCATTGTAAATGGCTATTGTGTAAATGGCTTTTTCACGATTTCATCACGGGGGAGGTCGGTTGGAATATTAAAGTACATTTTCAATAAATTGTAAATGAATAATATTCTTCAGACTAGTTTTAGGTTAACGACGTCCCGTTACCATATTAGCAAGCAATGTACACGATTACTTTTAAGCTATTTCGATGGCCACATGGCGCTTAACTCGTTGAACGAAGCTTAAGATGATAATACTGTATGTAATAAACCAAACTAAAGATTCTGTTCGCTTTGGCCTAAGCACAAACTTGACAGCTCCGTAATCTTATTGCATTGTCAGATTCTAACCCCCCCCCCCCCCCCCCCAGGACTCAATCTGGCTCCTTCCATGTAAAATTTAGATGTTAAAGATAGGATTACGGAGCTCTTAAATCGTGCTTGGACTTCAGATGTGGTCTTTGTTTTCTGGACTACGATCTTTATTGATGTCAGGTTAAAACCAACACAAAACTGATATCAGCAAAATGTCCAAAATTTTGTATGAAAAATTATCACTATTCATTTTGATCTCATTTGTTTGTTGAGTGTGTATAAATAGTATTGATTTGCCATATTTTGGTAGATACTGATATTTAACATTTGCCTAAACGGTTCGAAATGAATTTTAGCATTGTTATGTATGTTGCGCTGGGTATATTTTAAATAAAGATATGTATGATTGAAATATCGGAGCTACAGCAAGTCTTAAATATTAGTATACTCCTGTATTCAATCACCATTAATGTAATTAAGGAAAACATCTTATTTTATCTAGAAGTTATTTTACAAATAAGCTAAACTATGTCTAAATTAAAATACACTATTATCATATTTTAAATTATACTTGTACGATATTGCGGTCTTATAGATAACCGCTCTAATAGTTGTGTATTTATGATTTAAGTGCATTTTTCATCTTTTCACTGTCTACATGTCATTAACGTGACGCAACCACGGAGGAAAAACAAAGAGGAGCTGGCCTAAGCAACTGTGCACTGTGATTTTCAACTAGGTCCTGACGTCATCATTGTGGGCGGGGCCTAAGTCAGTATGCTTTCAGCGTTCGTCAGGTGCACACTTAAGGAGACTCGCATTATAAGTGTTTTTTTGCGTTTTTAACAAGAAAAGGATGAAGTTTTGTGTTTTACTATGTCAAAGTTACTCAGACAGACGTTCTGATAATATGGATGGCATCACATTTCATTTGTAAGTAATTTTATACGTAATTAAATATATAAGTTCTAGAACATTCTCAGCCTCAGCTTTCAGCGTTAAAATTCTACTACTTGACACCAGATGGCGACACTTTTAGGAAGAAAATACACAAGTTTACGTATAATTTTGCAGTATTATATTGTAATAATCATACGTAAATATTGAAAACTGTTATACACTTATTCCTAAATAACTTTTAGTATCTAAAACAGTAATTTTATCAATATATTACTAACTGGCCGCCATCTGTCGTCATATAGAATAACTTTTTAAACGTTACAAATATCCAGGGCCGTAATACGTATTAAATTATTTACCAAGTAAATAAATTTTAATTATTTTTATGTTCGTTTTAGATTTCCATCCAACGATAATTTAAAACAGCAATGGATTTCAAAACTTAATAGACCGGATTGGACACCATAGAAGAAGAAGATATTTCCATTTTAAATGAATTTTCTGTGCAAAAAATTAATATTACATCAGAACGTTATCGCATTTTAAATAAAATGAGTTTCGAGTCTTCGGATAGCACGGATGTCGAGCCTATGCCTGACGATATGTTATTGGAATTTGATGAACAATTAAATACAACTATAGGTGACTATTTGCGCCGTCAAATAGTAGCATATATTTCTGGGTATGTGGTCAAATATTTACATTCCAAGATCAAATGTGAGAGCTGTCTCAAAGAATTATATGCTGATAACTACGACGATAGTGACCTTGATTTGATAAAAACTTAAAATAAGGGTGGTCTTACTTTCCCATCTAGAGATGTCATAAAAATATGTACACGGACCGAAGGCAGTATTCGTTGTGTTAAATCGCAATCTTTGAATACTCCTAACTTTCGTAAACATAAAATTGTATCGAATACATTAAAATCACTTATTGGACAAGATTGTTTCAAAAAATCGGCCAACCATATGTTTGACCAATCACCTACAGTTAATCATGTTGTATTTCTGATGAAATCGATTGCAGAAAAATATATTGATATTCGTTTTAAGCATTTTGCCACAATACAAAACGATACGGCAACCAACCGACAACAACTAACCAAAACTATTATTTACAGGTAATTGATGTTTTTTAATAAAATTATGTTTGTAATAACATTTTGTCTATTATTTTTAAACTACCTTAAAATTTAAATCTAAAGAAAATATAACTAGAAAGATATCCACGACGCGGACCAGGCAGCAGACGGGAGCGGGTGCGGGTTCGAGTCCCGTCTGCTGCCTGGTCTGCCTGGATTTTTTTTCATCAAGCAGGTACATGTTTTAAAATAATAAAAATTATACCTTAAAAATTTTAAAATCGGTCAAATTTGTTAACGTTTATTTTATTTATTTACCTACATATTTCATTTTTTTGAAGCTTCAAGTTCTGAGTACGTCCCATTATATACAAAACTTTTGAACATCTAGTGTTAGATAGCTGAACTACTACGTAGTAACATAAATATCAACCTAAGCTAGTTTTGCTATTAGCCGATAGATGAAATATTGAGAAGTGGGCGGAGCTGAACACCCCGCATCCCGCAAATTATCACGCGTCGTTTCTTGAGAAAATTTAATCACCACACCTCCTCTTTGTTTTTCCTCCGTGGACGCAACGCTTCTGACTGGACATTCAATAAGAATTTGGACCTACTGTATGGGCCTTTGTTTACTTCTTTTTAGTTTTTAAGGTAATCGGAAGTAATGCTTAGAATCAATTTGTTTTACTGTTGATCAAAATTATATGACTGTATATTTTGCGTGCAACGTTATGGTTGCGCCAGTTTCAGATTTGCTTATAACTTCGACATTGTCTTGTGTAAATATCGACTAGATGTCCGTTTTATTTGCTTATCGAATACTGTGGCCTAACCAGAACGGTGCACATGTATATTTCATACATTGTGTATGGCGTATCATGTATTTACTCTTGGTTAAATAAAAAAAATCCATTTACATGTTTTTCTTTTTCGTCAAACATGACTGGGTTTGTATTAAATTAGCCACGATCAAATAGCGGGATCCTTTAGTTTTCATGAGCGCAGAAAGTTAAAACACCTTTATTGATTGCAAGAAGTTATTTATTCTAGAGTACGTTTCATAATTTATGCTAGTCTAATCTAAACGGAGCCCGTGAAGAGCACACGCTATTGAAATATTGAGGTTGGTTGGCGCGCGTCTTTGTCTGCGCTCATCCTCGCTCCCTTGTCAAAGGGGAGCCCAAGCGGAGACTTTTGTCAGACGACCTCCGTGGCTCAGTGGTTTGTACACCGGGTTTCATTGAGTCGCCGACTCGAGTGGTCCCGGGTTCGAATCCCGGTGGGGGCAGATGTTTGTGTGATGAATACGAGCATTTGTAGGTACTCTAGTCATGGATGTTTAATATGTATTTCTATATAAATATGCTTATTTATGTACAGTATATGAATTCTATCCATCACCCTAATATTCCATAACAAGCCCTACAGTGCTTTCTTTAGGGCTAGGCTAATTGGTGTGAGTGTTGGAAATATTTATTTTGTATTAACTCGAACGCGGAAGAATAACATAAGGGCAGAATCCTCCAGTACCTCCTTTTCAAAAAACTAACGTTTTGGACGCGACAAAAACTCACGACCGTTTGTTTCCTTTTGTTTATTCGGCCCTAGATGTTCGTCTCTAAGTAGAGGGCACGGGTATGGTGCGAGTACTGCACAAAGTGCCAAAAATCCCCGCTTGGGATCCTCCGCTATTGATAAGATGGCTTTATTGAAAGTTTTTACGTGCGCAGAAAGTTAAAATGTGTAATATCTAAGTAGGTATTTGATCCAGAGCATAGGTAATTTATAACTCATTTTAAGCAAATGTAAATCTTATTTTATAACTTATTTTAGGTTAAGCTAAGTTGTGGTGTCTGGATAGTGGCTAGGCGCGCGATATAGAAGAATGCGATCGATAGGCGCGTGACTGCGACTGCGGTCACTCTCGCTCCCTTGATGGAGGGTTTATTTGAAAATTCTACGTGCGCAAAGAGTTAAAATAAAACAATTTGTAATATTTATATACGTAAGTATTAAATCCGGAGCAAAGATATTTTACAACTCATTCTAAGCTTATCTAGATCATATTTTATAACTTATTCTAGGTTAATCTAAATCATGGAGTCTGTGGATAATGGCGAGGCGCGCGCTATAGAAGAATGCGGCTGATTGGCGCGCGTCTGCGCCTGCGGTCAGGTGGCGCGCCCCTTGCCCTCCTTGATGGCGATCACGTAGCGCTGCGCCACGCGCTCCGGCGGGGAGTAACCGTCCGCGTATGACGAATCCTTTGTTAAAAACGACAGTAAATTATCATGGGGTGAAAGGTATTGTTGCCGTTCAAACTTTATGGCGGCTGTATAGTTTATTTATTTAATAGGTACACAAATAGAGTGCAGTTATTCCATGGTTAAAAAACATAGATGTCGCAGAGCGTTAAAGTCAAGAAGCTTATATACAACACTGGAGATTGCATGTAGAACTTCTGTATGAAGATGAGTTCATTAACCCCATGATATGTTTTTTATCTCTCTCACACACTATCTGAAATTACCATGTTAAATACAAGAAATTCCAATCAGAAAGTGAAAATAAACAGAACTATGCAAGATATCAATCAGTTTTACAATCTCCAGAAGTCCTACTCTTGTATAACTATTATAAGATGAGTGTGACAAATTCTAACCAACTACTTTGAAATCAATATTTAAAACTAAATAATAAATACGCCCTTTATTTCCCTGTTTGCTGGTTGCTACCATTTTGGTATAATAGCAACAATAATTAAAAAATCAACTGAAGAATATCTCCGATCTGTCAAAAACAATCTACCGCTTCGAATGTTTAGATTATTATTAAAAAGTGTTAAATTGTTCAATTTGCTATTTATAATATGTATTGTGTTGTGTGAGATTGCAGAAGTGTTTGGGAACCAAATTCTAGCACTAAATTTCACAGGTAAGTGTATTACATTACGCCAATACCGAAATAAACATATTCCTATATTTTTATGTTGTAATCATAATAAAACGTTAGTATTTATAAATCATAGTGTCCTGAGGCTCTAAATTAACGTTATTCTTGTGTTATTCACTACATTTGGTACCATATTCAGCAGTTTATTAAATTAAAATAATCTCCCCTTCCCTCCGGACATCTGAGGTGATCAGACGTGTCTAAGTTACATTCCACGCGCAAATTATCTGTATTTTTGACTATTAGTATTTTAAGCAATAATTAGTCAAAATAATAGGAGTGCATAAAACGCAAGACCTTACTTCGTGACTCGAGTGAACTGCGCGCCAAGCTCCGCCCAAGCATCACACGCACTACACACGTAAGAACAATCATCGTATATTACTGTCTCCGTTACACATTGTACCGGCCAAGTTATAACGGACGGAAAGGTAATTTGTACTAAAGCGCCGCGACCGACCAGATTACGTGGACCCCACTAGTAGAAGAATACGTTGTGCTAAGACTACCGTTCTTTAGACATTATAGTGTCCTGGTACTGATTATAGATATGCCTGTCGATCGCACCCCTCCGCCACTATCGACGCTTGCGCAACCTATACAACATTGTCGCTCTGAATCCGACTTAACTACTGAGCGTCAAGGGGAACAAAAAGAAACACATGTAAGCCATCGCGCAAAGCGAAAACACCCTGATGACAACACCGACTCGCAATTAACATCTTTTATGTCAGAAATGAAAGCTATGTTTATCGAATTTAAAAATCAGCAAGAGGAAAAGTTCAACAAATTTGAAAAAATGTTCTCTTCTTTTGAGGAAATAAAGAACCAGAACAATGAAATACGTAACTCCATAGACTTTTTGTCGCACAGTTATGATTCTCTTGTGGAACAAATTAATACACTTCAGGCGGAACGTCGTGAAAATATTCAATACATACAAAAGTTGGAAGAAAAAATTGACAAGTTTGAAAGTGGTTTGAGATCCACTTGTATTGAGTTAAGGAATATTCCACCAGTTAAGAAAGAGTCTAAACAATCTTTATTAAGCACTGTTCTACATACCATAAATGAAATTAATTTAAAAATAGAACCACATGAAGTAAAAGATGTTTTTCGTCTTTCTACCAGAGTCTCAGAAAACCGGCCTATAATTGTAGATTTCATCAGTGTCTTAACAAGGGACAAAGTAATTGAAAAGTTCAAAATTTACAATAAAAATAAAGGGAAACTTACTACAGAAACCCTTAAAATCAGTGGTCCCGCCAAGCCAATTTTTATTTCGGAAAATCTTTCAACCAAGATGAAAAAGTTATTTTACTTATGTCGTGATTTTGCAAAATTGAATAATTTTAAATACTGTTGGGTCTCTCACGGAAAAATTTTTCTGCGCAAAACCGATGGCACTGATCATCATATGATTAAATGTGAAAATGATTTAACTAACTTACAATTGCAAATATGACTATCTACTTTTATAAAACTAGTGATGAAATATAAATATGTTTATACGCACCGAAAACCTATTGTTATCACAAAATATTTAAGATACAACCTTAGTCTGGTAATTGTAAATATTTTGATTTTTGTTGTTATTTTGTCTTGTGAAAATATTTTCTTTAGCACATACACACAACTAAACACAAACACACGTCAGACTTACACTACATATTTACACTATCAAGTATACATACCCATAACAAAATATTTTACACATTTATTTTATAAACCCTTGATTATATTTTTACATATACCAATGCCAAACTATAAATTAATTATTGATAACTGCATCTTTAAATTTATTATACTTACTCTCCCTGTTACTGAGTTTCAGACGTACCAGTGTATAATCAATTGCTTTTGCACTGTGCGTTTGTTATATCAACTATATACAGCCTTTGAGAAACCTAAAATCAAAAGTTTACATATTCCTATGACACTGAAGTCATCCTGTTATCACAGAAATTTGTATTTTTTTCATTATTTACTTTGTATATTCTTTATATTTATCTTTTTTAAGAAATAATAAGTTAACAAATACTCCACATCATGTCAGAAAACTTAAACATTATAAATGAAATTGAACAAATACATGTATCTCAATTCTATAACTGTTGTCCTGAAGATTGTAAACTATATGTAGATGAAACTTTGTACCTAAACATTCTTCAGGTAAATATTAGGAGTATAGGCAGAAATTTCTGTAATTTATTAACACTATTACAGCGTATATCTATTTCAGTCGATATAATAGTCTTGTCTGAATGTTGGTTAGTATGCCCGTCTTTGCCGAGACTCTCCGGCTTCAACTCGTGTATGACTTCATATGGTAACCAAAACGAAGGAGTAGTAGCATACGTCAGAGAAAACCTTCCGTTCTCTTTCGAGGTACCCTGCTTTAGTGGTGCAAACTGTTTAATTTTAAAATTTACAGATAAATTAGCAATAATCGCTCTATATCGCTCACCATCGTATATAAATACTGATGGTTTCATGAATTCGCTGGACGCCACCTTAAAAAGTATTGGTAATTATCCCAGTATTGCTATTGTGGGGGACATTAATATCAATATTACTCCAGCCAACACAGATCCCAATTCAGACTTATATTTGAATATTACTGCGTCTCATGGTTTGCTGCCAGCTCATGATTTTCCTACAAGAGGTCGTAACTGTCTTGATCATGTAATACTCAGGACCAAATCTAGCGCTATTACATTTGTTTTGGACTCATTTATTACCGATCACGCACCCGTAATACTTTGCTGTGGCCTAAAACTTAGGTCAACAAACCCTGAGCGCTCTCGCAAGCATATCAATATAGAAGCATGTACCCAGGAGCTACAACACGTCGATTTCTCACCTATTTTCTCTTGCCATGACGCAGATCAGGCTACTAATAAACTTGTTCATTTAATTTCATCCATTGTAACTAGATATACAAATATAGTGTCGACCTCAAGTAAAAAGAGAATAATTAAGCCTTGGATCACACCAGGTTTGTTAAGATGCTTGAGAAACCGTGATAAACTATCTCATAGAACAAGAAAATATCCTGATAACGTGATTCTAAAGATTTCCTACATAAGATATAAAAACTTCTTAAATAATTTAATAAAAAGAGTAAAAAGAGTATATGAACAAGCTGAATTCGCTAAGACAAAAAATAATCCAAAAGCAACCTGGGCTCTTATAAAAAAGATAGGCAACATTAATCAATCGAGCACACATGCCGATCAACTTCTTTCGCTTTCAAATGACCCAAATTGTGCAGTAAATGCAGTAAATCATTACTTTGCCAATGTTGGCAAGGATTTGGCTCTCAGTATTTCTGTACCACAAAATGCTGTAATTTCAGAAAAAAATTCACCATTAAATTCAATGTCCCTTTTTATTACAGATGGTAAAGAAATTGAAAGCATTATTAATGATTTAAAAAATACTTCTGCAACTGGATGGGATGGGATCCCTACTGCTATAATTAAAACAGCCAAGACTTCATTGGTCCCTGTTCTTGTGCATGTTTTTAACCTGTGTATCACGTCCGGTATTTTTCCAACAGCTTTCAAAAAAGCCCTTGTACACCCGATTCACAAGAGTGGGGACAAGGGCAGTGTAACAAACTATAGGCCTATCTCGGTTTTAACGGTATTGTCTAAGATCCTGGAAAAGATCCTAAACAAAAGACTCATCAATTATCTTGATGCAAATAACATTATTGCGCCAAATCAGTTTGGTTTTAGGAAAAATAAATCAACCGATGATGCAGTTCTACAACTAAGCGAATCGGTAGTTAGGAACCTTGAATCAAAACACAAGACAATTGGCGTATTCCTGGATCTTTCTAAAGCCTTTGACACTGTCTCTGTCCCTATTCTGATTGAAAAAATGTCGAGGATCGGTGTTCGGGGTGTTGCGCTGGATATTTTTAAAAGTTATCTTGGTGAGCGTTCGCAGTGTGTTAGGATACACAATTTTACAAGTCAGGATGAACATATCAGTTACGGTGTTCCGCAGGGGAGTGTCCTAGGTCCTACCCTTTTTAATATCTACATCAATGACCTCTGTAAATTGATTCTTCCAAACTGCAAAATCACTGTATATGCGGATGATACTGCTATGATAATCCATGGAAGTACCTGGAGTGAAGTTTCTTCAAACGCTGAATTTGCACTACAGGAAGTGATGAAATGGTTATCCATAAATTTGCTAACCCTCAATTTAGACAAAACCAAATTCATTACATTTGCAGCACGTTCACACTCTCTTCCATCTTCTTCTTTTACCATTCGCGCTCATCAATCACGAGAAAACGAATGCAAAAACTGTAGCTGTTTGCAAATCCAGCGTGCTCCTCACATTAAATACCTTGGTGTTTGGGTTGACGCTGTTTTGTCTTGGAAGGAACATATTAATACTACAGTAGCTAGAGTCAGGAAGTTAATGTTCATATTTAAAAATCTTAGAAATGTCGTAGATTTGGGAACTCTTAGGACTACTTATTACGCTTTGGGGCAATCAATTATATCATATTGCATTGTTGTCTGGGGTTGTTCAGGTAAAACTCACCTCTTACGTCTGGAAAGGGCTCAAAGGGCTGTTATTAAAATAATTAATTTCAAACCAATTACCTTTCCAACATCTGAACTCTATACACTTTTTAATGTTTTGTCAGTTAGACAGATTTACTTACTTAATGTAATACTACGTAAACACTCGCAGATGCCATATGATGACCATGTTTCGTTGAGTAGACGTAGACCTTACATTTTGTGTAAGACAGGCAGTGTAAGATTAAATGTAGCTAGACGCCACTTCTGCTTTATATCTTCTGTTTTATACAACAAGGTAAACGGAGTTCTGAATATATTTCCTCTTACTCTTAGAAAATGCAGGGTAAAAACTATGGAATGGCTTCAAAGCCTCACATATTCTGATACAGAGGCATTATTTGGTGCTTTATTGGGTTTGGCCTGATCATCTAATGTAAATTTGGGCTATACATACCTCACACACACACATACACACACACACACCCACCCACACACACACACACACACACACACACACACACACACACACACACACACGCACGCACACACACGCTCACATACATACACACACATACACACATTTAATTCCTTTTTAAATATTAAATTAGGATTAAGATTAAAATTATTATAGCGAAAAATTGTTTTCTGGAGGTGGGCGTTAATAACTGCGACACAGTTTTATAACTAATGCAGTTATTATCGATCACTATTGTTATTGTATCTTTGTTATGGTTTTAATAAATATTTCATTTTTTTTTTAAAATATAAATTTTGGTTTTGTAGGGTAACCATTATCACTACACTTGAGATATTTTGAGAAAGTTATAATACATAAGTATTATTGTAAATATTAATTACAAAGTTCAAAATATGAAAATAAGTTTATAATAAGTACTGTAGTAGATCATGTTGATTAGATGTAGAAAACCTATTTAATAACAGCTATCTAGCAGCGGTCTTATACCTTTGTTTATGTTTCAGCTTCCCGAACGATGTCATTAAAAGCAATTTTTGGTTGTCCATTATACTGTCACAAACGCTCTCGAAACGGAACCGCGAATGTGCTAGTGATCGAATTTGCCAGAGCACCGCGTGTCGCAATAGAAGTCGAGTAAGGCGGCTCATTCTGAAATGAGCCTTATGCAGTGCGACGTAAAAGAGAGAAAAAACGATATCTGCACTTGTTTACAAGTTATGCGTGTTACTTGCCTATGCAATACCTATGTATAAGTAGTTATTTCGTACTCGCGGGTGCTAGGTAATTCTTAATTTAACAGGTACTTTCTAGAACTTCCGACTTTCGACGACCTCCGTGGTCGAGTGGTTTGTACGCCGGGTTTCATGGTGTCGCCGACTCGAGAGGTCCCGGGTTCAAATCCCGGTGGGGACAGATGTTTGCTGAATACGAGCATTTGTACTCCAGTCATGGATGTTTAATATGTATTTCTATAAATAAAATATACTTATATATGTACAGTTTATGTATTCTATCCGTTACCCTAGTATCCCATAACACAAGCCTTATAGTGCTTACTTTGGGGCTAGGCTAATTGGTGTGAGTGTTGGAAATATTTATTTATTTATTGAAGTGAAACTTCTTTATCGGCGTTGGAAAAAAATTTACCGTCACATTTTTCGGTTACGCGTCACATTTTTCCGTTACGCGCCATCTTTTTTTATATTAATAGTTGATAGCTGAATGATCACACTGTCGCCGGCGAGAACTCTCTCTACTCGTTTGTAGCTGAGTGACAATAGTTATTAAAGATAAGACTCGCATAGCGATACTCTCTCAGTGATACTCGCTCAGCGATACTAGCCCAGCGATACTAGCTCAGCGATACTCGCTCAGCTATACTCGCTCGGTTAAGCTGGCTTGGCTGTCAAAAGCCGTGCGCGTGCATTTTAACTCAGGACTGCCAATTCGTTTCTAGTTTCTACTCGCTTATCGTTCATCGTCGGAGGTGGAACATGTGCCTTAGATTACTGAGCCGTGTAATCATAACAGTTTCATAGGCAGTAATTTGTATTCATGTCTATGATAATAAAATCCTTTTGTTTAAACTTTATCTAATTTAACTTTATTTAACCAATTTCTGGAAAGTTGCATGTAGATCATTTTTCGAAAAATAAGGCCATAAAGAAGTTTCACTTCTTACGTGTGTACACTAGTACACACACACATTTTTTTACTTTCTAGAATGCATCGATCGGCGTATATAAGGGCGATTGGCGCCGCGCAGAGACAGTTGAGTTTCAACAGCGATTTCGGAACGAATCCAAAGGCGATCAAAGAGCAACAAAAGTGTTCAAGTGAGATTGTTTAGAGACTTGTACAGTGAAATACAGTGTTTAGTGAGTGTTTTGTAATTAACATTGTGTGTTAATTGTGTGAACTGTGTGGTGAATAAAGAACTGTCAATCGTGAACTGGCATATAATTTCGCACCCCATCCCGACACGTAACAATACCATTAAAAGGTCAATTTTATTTATCAGCCAAAATATGTAGCTTAAAGTTTCTAGTCCGTTCTTAGTAAAAGGCATTTCTGGCGATTTTAAAAAGGGTTTGCATATTCTTTCTCGTTATTTTTTTATAAACGTTTTTGACATTGCATAATATAAGACGCATCTAATATGAATAAAATGATTTTTGTACTTGTGAATTTTATTACTATTAAATGTGTTCCCAAGTTCCTATCAACTCCAACGCTTTGATTTATAAATTGTTTAAAGACGATACCAGTAAGTATGTATCCTAAACGTAAATTCCAACATGGTCACCCTTAGAAAGAGATAACAAACATATGTGACGTCATTCAAGGCCATATTTTTTCACTTCAAGGTATTGTTTGCACTGCAATCTCCAGTGTTGTATATAAGCTTCTTGGTTAAAGTGCGACAAGGATCTTTATAAATGTGGCGAAAAGTGGCCCCGCCGTCTTTGTAAGTGTCATATTTACGTAAACAGTGTCGCCCTCCCTGAACTGTCACTCAGATCCATAAAAATCCTTGTCAACGAAACCAAATGTAGGGTGATGTAGGCGCGTGCAGGATGTCGTTATCATGATCGTTACTCGAAATTTCGGTAACGAACGAATTTTAAACGAAATTTCGCCACTGACTACTCTATTCCATTTCGAACAGGCACATAAAGTTCGGAATCAGAAATAGTTTTCGTGAACGAATGGAATGAGTCATGTTTGTGAGTTTTTTTATCTACACTTTTAAAGTGGAGATAAAAAAACTCACAAACATGACTCATTCCATTATGATTAAGCTTTTACTTGGAAATAATAAAGGTACTTTATGGCAAAAATTTTGATGATATTTGAAAGAACCATCTTTGTCAGTGTTAGCCGTAGAGTTGATGATACAAGCTAAATTTGTCGTTTAATACTTTGAAGTATTGGAATTACAATAAATAATAAACCATTTATTTGTTAATTTTAGAAACAAATAAATTAACGCATTTAAATCATTGAAGCTTTGTTTTATTTAATAACATATTGTTTTAATCGTTCATGGTCAATAACATTATCGCTAATTATGTTATTACAAAACTCGCTCAAAACAGGGTAACAATCATGTAAATAACAAATTATGTGAAGTAAGCGAAGTAAGACATTTTTAAAATGTAAATTCGTATATAGGAAACTTCTTGAGTAAAACCGTTTTTGTATGTAAAATAGCTACGGCGCAGGCTTCCTTGTCTATTATGGTCATTGCGCAAGAAGTTTAATGGGGTCAGGGTTACCATTTAGGAATTTCAAAAGTCCTGACATTTCGAAAAAAGTCCGGACTTTTTAGTAACAAAATGGTAACTAAACTCACTTAGTTACAATGGTCTGGTATGGTCAACGATTTTAAATACCCTAGATACACCACATGCACTCAAAATGTATTCGAATCAAGAAGTGCTTGAACACGACTCGAACACTTCTTGATTCACAGTCAAGCGGGGACCATTGAAAAGTCAACATGCCGCTGAGCTCCGTGAAAAAATACGAAAACAATACTAATAGTATGTCAACAGGTATCTAATTGATGTTTGTTAATATAACGCATTTGAAGTAAATTTATAAGATATCTATTTTATCTATAAGATAAAATAGAAAATATTTGTGATATTCAAATGCATGGTCGGTAATATAGCGGTCTCTATTCCTCGCGGTCCGTACCTGCTATATTGCTAACAGCGCATTCAGAATTGCGCGTAGAGTCAAAGAAATAGGGTCTATATTATTCCGCATATAGTAATAAGCTGTAAAATTTTACGAGCGTGCGTTTCAAACTGTAATAGCTCTTTGACGCATGCGTTTTAATTAAGACCTTATACAGTTTGCATTAAAGGTGATTTTCAATGTTTAAATAATGCCTTATATTGTTTGGACTACGCGATCAACTCGCGGAGCTCCGTGGATCGTCCAATGTACCTTGGACAGGTTTCGGGCATGATTTTGTTCGTGTTGGTGTATCTAGGGTATTTAATATCGTCGGGTACGCTGTTTAAATATGTACTTTTATTATCAATATTCAATGTAATTTAAAAAATCCGGATAATTTAAAGATCCGGACAAAGTCGGACTATAGTCTAAAAATCCGGATGGATGGTAACCCTAGATGGGGTGTATACCTACCTCAAACAGTACTTCATACGGGTCAGCAGCGTTAGCCGGCAGTCTATTCACGACAGCTCTATAGAAGCAGGTAGTCTGCGGGTACAAGGCCATAACCACGGCCCCCTTAGGGAACAGCGCCGGTTCGTCGGTGCGAGGCTCAGCGCGCATCAACGGCAATGGCACGACCCGCCGCTTGCTCAAAACATGCCGGTTTTTTTGCTCCTCGTCGATGTCATCCACTTCATATTTACCCTGCGCTGGTAGCCAGCTCACCACCTAAACGGTGATACCATATAACTGAGATATCAGAGGCAGCAAAAGAAAAAAATAGGAGAACGATACATACGATCGATAACAGATAAGGTAAGCTTTTGTCGGTGCTAGCTCATTTTCATGAACAAATAGAAGAATAGTCACAAAATAGAAAGTAGCGACAATGTGTGCGTAACGATGGCCCTATAGAAGCAAGTAGTCTGCGGGTATATGACCATAACCAGATGTATGCGAACGACGGCCCTATAGAACCAAGTGGTCTACTACGGCTCCCTTAGGGAATAGCGCCAGTGCTTATCATCAACGGCAAGGGCACGACCCGCCGCTTTGGCACGCACGCTCAGTACGTCACGGTTCTTCTGCTCCTCGTCGATGTTCTGACATGGTCTGACACACATCACGTGACAAACTACAGACCTATTTCGATACTACCAGCAATTTCAAAAATTTTAGAAAAGAAAAAATATTATTACTAGACTCGTTCAATACTTAGAGAATAAATCTTTGCTGTCCAATAATTAGTTTGGCTTTAGATCCAATCTATCAACTGCTGATGCTGTGTATCAACCAACAACACAACAAGCGCAGCACCAGTGCCGCGACGGCGTCCTCGGGGCGCGCCACGTTCCCGGGGTCCGCTCCCTTACATACTTTACCTCAGCCAGTATCCAGTTCTCTTCCAGCGTCGCGACGGCGTCCCCGGGGCGCGCCACGTGCCCGGGGTCCGCTCCCCTACATAGTTTACCTCTGCCAGTATCCAGTTCTCCTCCTTGTCGGACACGCGCACCAGCGGCGCGACGGCGTCCCCGGGGCGCGCCACGTGCCCGGGGTCCGCTCCCCTACATAGTTTACCTCTGCCAGTATCCAGTTCTCCTCCTTGTCGGACACGCGCACCAGCGGCGCGACGGCGTCCCCGGGGCGCGCCACGTGCTCGGGGTCCGCTCCCCTACATAGTTTACCTCAGTCAGTATCCAGTTCTCCTCCTTGTCGGGCACGCGCACCAGCGGCGCGACGGCGTCCCCGGGGCGCGCCACGTGCCCGGGGTCCGCTCCCCTACATAGTTTACCTCTGCCAGTATCCAGTTCTCCTCCTTGTCGGACACGCGCACCAGCGGCGCGACGGCGTCCCCGGGGCGCGCCACGTGCCCGGGGTCCGCTCCCCTACATAGTTTACCTCTGCCAGTATCCAGTTCTCCTCCTTGTCGGACACGCGCACCAGCGGCGCGACGGCGTCCCCGGGGCGCGCCACGTGCCCGGGGTCCGCTCCCCTACATAGTTTACCTCTGCCAGTATCCAGTTCTCCTCCTTGTCGGACACGCGCACCAGCGGCGCGACGGCGTCCCCGGGGCGCGCCACGTGCTCGGGGTCCGCTCCCCTACATAGTTTACCTCAGTCAGTATCCAGTTCTCCTCCTTGTCGGGCACGCGCACCAGCGGCGCGACGGCGTCCCCGGGGCGCGCCACGTGCCCGGGGTCCGCTCCCCTACATAGTTTACCTCAGCCAGTATCCAGTTCTCCTCCTTGTCGGACACGCGCACCAGCGCCGCGACGGCGTCCCCGGGGCGCGCCACGTGCCCGGGGTCCGCAGGCACGGCGCCGCACAGGGGCGGAGCTCGCTCCCCCACGCGCCCTACATGAAGGGGCAGAGTCTGCGCCGCGCTCAGTAACATCTTCATCAACGCGCCGCAACCTATAGTCTCCTTGTTGCCCGCGTGACGCGCCTGCGTACGATCAAATAAAATGATAGCTAAAATAATAGATAATATTATCGCCACGTCAAGGCTGTAAGAACAAATATTGAAAATTTTTGCCTTTATCTATTCAATTAAGCATCAAGTGACAGATATAGTCTTTAACCCTTCAAGGCTACAATGAATTTGTATACCGCTAAGACTACAATGGGTGTAGAAACACCCAGATTTAATCATGTGAATAAATAATATAAATAAATATAAAATTTTATTTCATTTTTAATGTTGTGTACTTGAATAAGGGATCATGTTCCTGGATATTATGATTTATATGTTTAATTTAATAAAAAAAAAACAGTTTAATCACGAGTGAAAAAGGGGTTCTCAAACTCACAGTAATCTTGAAGAGGTATGGAAAAACTTGAAAAAAAACAAAACTTATTACATTGTTTTTAATCAGTTTTTATATTTTTAATATTTATAGATGTCTTTAATTAGGCAAATTATTTAACATTTTATAAAAAAAAAATACGGAGTCCCTCTTTATAACTCAACAATAATGTATAAAAACCCAGGTTTAATAGACAAATAACACTAAACTAAATGATCACTAAATAAATAAAGAAAAAGTAGAATAATAATATAGGTAATATTTATAAGTTATAAGTAATGTTATAATATATGTCAATGTAGGATAATTTCTGTGGGGTGGGAGCCTGGCAACCTGTACTACAGGCCTTTAATGCCTACTTGAGGCACCAGCTTCTCACACTTCAAATATGTAGCTTTTGAAATATTTAATGATGGCTGATGCTTAACCGATTGTATTTGTATAAATTACCTATAAGTTTTTGTAAATTTCAGTGTGCGAGAAGAGAACAAATAAATATTATTATTATTATTGTAAGTTAGTAGCCCACTATGACAATAATGGGTGAAAAAATACAGTTAACGAGTCTATCTTGGGACCGGCACTTGCGCACAACCTCGCTCCCCGCGTGTTCTAGGGCTACTGTTGACTTACGAGAATACATGGAATCACAAGCCGCTGCGTTAAAAACGAAAAAAGATAATTGGCAAAAAAATTAAGTCATCCGGGTGTAAAAGCACTGTTGTAGCCTTTAAGGGTTAAATTGTCAAAGGCTAACAATTTCTAAAATGGAAACAGTTAAAAATACCTGCATACGCCTCTCGTTCTTAATTGCACGTATCTCATAGATACGTGAAAGTGCTGCTCTAAGTAGTCTCTCTTCTTGCTCAGTTGCTGTTAGTCCAGCTTTGTATAAGTTTTTCAACTGTGTTTGCTGGAACAACAAAAACATGTAGCAATGATGGAATACCATTAAACCTATGATTAACAGACAGGCAAAAACTTTTTGTAGTGAAAAAAGAAAGAAAAAAATACTAGACCAGCTGCCATCACATTTTTTGTAAATTATGTTTTTAATTCAATAAATATAGTGAAAAGCTTTATACATTATAAAGATATTCACCTTATAGATAGAAACAACAGTCAAAACATTAGCATTGTAATAACATATCAGAGCCATTTAAAGTTGAAAAGATGCTGTAAAATATTAGGCACTTCAAGAATTATCAATTAGTGAATTTTAATAAATTATAATTTCATTCCATAGTACTGGTAATAAATTTTCCTATAATAATTAATTTATTAATTCCGTTTGTACTTATTGAGGATTCACCATTTTTTAAATAAGTAGGTACCTATAATTTTTAGCTTCTCATGACACACTATTTATTATATAAATGTTTCTTTATTATATAAATGGTTAAAGTAAAACAGTATAAAACTCATTAAAGTAACCATGAAACAATAATGAAAATATCAATATTAACCTGCTGTGACGAACTAGAAGAATCTTCTGTTGTGGATTGAGTTTCCGCAGCTCGTTCAGCTCGTAAGATAGAATCAATGCATTGTTCATTTCTCCCTCTTTCAACTTCTATATCATAGATAAGTCTATGAAGTGAACGCAATCTTTCCTGTTTTATTAAATTAAAAACAAATTAATTAGCTCAAAAAACATTAACTGCAAAAAATTAGAAAGAAAAGAGATATAAAGTGTCTATGTGTGTACAATCAGCGTTGTAGTTGTTGATTGCAACATGTGCTAAGTAGTGTAACACCTGTTGTGTTACGGCCTCCTTGCTTGTTTAAACTCTTTACATAAGTAATGCCTACTATGACTGGCAGTTATATTAAGTAAAGAGTTTACACAAGCAAGGAGGCTGCAACGCACAGTGCGTTACAGTAGGGACCGTTTCAGTTGACTATGATTATTTACTAGTTCTTACTGTAATTATATTATGTTTAAGAGCGGAATGCTAAAGGATTTTAATTTGGTGTTTACATTTATTGTAAACATTGCTAATGTACATAGTATTTTCTTGCCTATAAAAAGCAGCATCAATATGCACTGACAACATATATTGGCATCTACAACAAATCACTATTTCAATACTCAGAAAATTAAGTTACAAAACACACCTGGACTTGTTGAGCAGCTACATCAGCGGTCAGAGGCATTTTTAAAATAGTTCACCGAGCTTCCAAGCAATGTAAATAACGTGCAACCAGCTGATACCTATGAAAACCTTTAAAACATTACATGACTTAATGAGTGTATTTGAGAAACTAGTCCAAGATATTTTATTCCCTTCTTACATACCTACCACAATAAGTGATTTCCACCAACATGTGAAACACATGAGTTATTTAAGGGATAGAATATTCTTAGATTCAGATAAACTCAAGGAATATGTAAATTAAAAACAACATTATCAAAACCACAACAACAAAAACATCACACGCCCGTTTTTTTTTTAATTTAATGGCTTGGATGTTTGTCTTTTCAGCCACGTCACGGTAATATTATATACAGTATTCTATCTTCATACAAACGGTCGGAAATATAGATAGATAATGGTGTCGATTCTGGCGTGATTCTCTAAACTTAAAACTAAATTTAACATCAGTCTCTCCTTTTTATTCTGTATAAAGAATGAAAAGGATGTACTGGTGTCGATTCTGGCACGACTCTCTAAACCTAAACTTAAATTTGACAACAGTGCATCTTTGTCATTCTCTATACAGAATGAAAAGGAGAGACTGATGTTAAATTTAGTTTTAAGTTTAGAGAATCATGCCAGAATCGACGCCACTGTTGTCAAATTTAAGTTTAGCTTTAGAGAATCATGCCAGAATCGACATCAATATTACCGTGGCCACGTCTTCGTCTATTCTAGGTGTGAGAGTTCTAAGGACGAACCGGTTTCAAGGACCGTTTTGTGTTCCGCGACGATAGAACCGTTTTACGTTTCGGATCAAAACAGTCTTCGTCGAACAACTAGTCCTCGGATTGTCTGCACGCCAATATATACTTTATGACGAAGTAAATACAGTCTATAATAGAACGCAATGATTTATAATAAGGGAGGGCAAGATGGCGATCTGAGATTAAAGAATCGATTTGGAACAACAAATACTAAAATTGGAATAAAATCTAGGGGGGCTCTCATAAAACAAACGTGTTTTTTTGCTGTTCTTTACTCTAAGAGGCGGGCACTTGAAATTTTATAGTTATTTTGGTATGGAAGTATCAAAATTGGACTTACCCTTTTACGCGCGAGTTCAACTCGCACTTGGCCGGGTCCGGGTTTTTGATGTGTAACCACGGACCTGAAAAAAAGACGGACGTAATATCAAAGGCAAATCATGTGAAGCATGACAATGACATGTAGGTCAGACAAAATCGTGTGTTGTACACTACCTACACTCACACTAATGCACCAGGTCGGACAATCCGCTGCCATTTGAACTCGCGTGACAGCGCCAGTCACACGTTCAATTGCTCCGATATATTTTTAAAAAAATGCCGTCTTGTGTGGTGAAATCTTTTAAAAACTACACGAGTAAATTTGAAAAGTCACAAGGAATCACCTACTATGCTTAAGTATTGACGATTCTTGATATTTTTTTTATATTATATTTTATTTACAAGGATAAAAATTGTAAACAAAAATACAACTGTGTGGCTACTTTATTTACGGGAAATTTTCCCTAAAAGTAGGGAAATTTGTATTTCTTGCATTTGTGACTAGGCAAGATAAGATTTCGTAAATTTTTAGGGTTCCGTATCCCAAAAGGAAAAGAAAAGAAGCCATATTATTCATAGAATATTTTATATAAATTATAGTCTTGTCTTCTTTCTAATAGGTTTCCTAGAAATAGAAACCGTAGAGATGACTGGGTTTGAATTATTCGATACTGCAAAGGGGATAACAATTAGGGACCCATCACCTTCCAGTACTGTGTGCAGTGCACACGTTGTTTGGTTTTCGTTCAAACCTGAGCCTGTAAAGAAGAAATATTAAAAACTAGCGGTGCGCCCTCGCTTTGCTTCGGTGTAGAGCTGAATTGTTGTATTATACACAATGACATTCATCTATGATTTTTCTTATACCTGCATGCAAAGTCTCAGCCCGATCGGTTTAAAATTGACAAAGTTCCATACAAACTTTCATTCCCTATTTTATCCCCTTGGGGGTAGAATTGATAAAATCCTTTCTTAGCGGATGCCTACGTCATAACATCTACCTGCATGCCAAATTTCAGCCCGATCTGTCCAGTGGTTTGGGCTGTGCGTTGATAGATCACTATGTCAGTCAGTCAGTCACCTTTGAGTTTTATATATATAGATACAGTTGAAACTCGTTAACAGAACTACTATACAAATAAACTTTTGAAACCAAATTACGATAACCAAAATTATTACAAAACTAGAGGTCGCCCGCGACTTCGTCTGCGTTAACTTAGTTTCTTGAAAATCCCTCTGGAACCTAACATTTTTTCGGGATAAAAGTAGCCTATGTGTTAATCTAGGGTATCAGCTAACTCCATACCAAATTTTATTAAAATCGCTCCAGCCGTTTAGACGTGAAGAAGTAACAAACATACACACTCACATACTCACAAACTTTCGCATTTATAATACTAGTGTGATGAATTACAGGCAGGACTTGAACCTGCATTTTCTGTTGTCTGGGTGGATGCACTAATTGCTATGCTACCGAGAACTTAATGATCATGACGAATTTCTTCTTGTATTTCTTAGGCTGCACGGTAGTGCCATTTCTTCGCATTGTAGGTAAACCACGATGTCAAATGAAACCATAGATATAGGATGTAAAGATAGACAGAGTACCTATCGCTACTGTTCCAAAAAAATATCTATAAAAGTGTCGAGTTAGTTTCACAGAATTTCATAATAAATTTTATCTCAGTACGACTTGACAGGGCGCTGTGGCTCTTGCTAAAAATATATTATTAGACGAAAGGTACATCATGTTGCGTCTCTTTCTACGTTATAGGATTGGCATGATATTTCTTTTCCTCACTCTGTCAGTCTTTAAATACCTACTCAATCTATGAATGAAATACTTACATTTGAAAGAAGAAATAGCAATATTAGTCTATTATATTTTTATTTTAAGCATTAATCTGCGCGATTTATGTATATTAATGTATGTTATTAACCTCATACATAATATTAAGACACTAACATTTATATGTAAACAATAAAGTTTCTTTTTACATAACAAGTTACATAATCTATCTCGGTGTTCCTAAAAATAATTTGATAGACCGTTTAAATTGCTGAAAAATCAGGAGCTCACAACGAGTAAAACACGTGGTAAATATCCCGTTTTTATAATATATATTTGATTACATAATGTTAACAATGTTTTAGTTTGGGAGATTTAAAAAGTAGGGAAATTGATGATTTACCCGACAACCCTGAAATCACGCACACACTGTAAGCGGGCGGCCATTTGCATGCTTCACTCGAGATAAGACGAGGTTACGTCCGTCTTTTTTTCAGGTCCGTGTGTGTAACATCATTTCTCTCGCTTTCCTGGAATTTGTGGGAGGGATTTCGTGAAATGGGACGAAGGTTTGTAACAGGAAGTCGCGAAAGCGTGCGCTATTTGATTTGATTTTAGAACAATGTAGGGATGTTCGATATCGATTCGATTAATCGATTATATTACATCGATTAATCGTATCGCAATGACCTTCATTATGGTCTTGTCAGTTCATACATACAGTTTGTCTATAAAGTCGTGACATGAATGTTTGAGGAACTAACATTATTCATGTGTCTGGCAACACCAAACTTATGTGCATCAGCTGTCATCGAGTTTCAGTTGTGGAACAGTTTTCCTCTCACTACGGGATATTGGCGCTGTGTGAAACGGAAACAGCCACAGAAAAAAAAACAGTTTGGATTAAACTGTAATAAATTAAGACGAAACTACGCAGGAAGGTATAAAAATGCGTAAAGTAAATCAAGTTTTCAAGTTTTCCAGCGATGTTTCGAAGACTACCAAGCTGGACGAATTTTGTGGGATTTGGATGATGTTTATGAGCGAACAGCATCTATGACGGGTATGTAATCGTGTAACTATTTGTTTGTAATCTGCCTGAAGTTACAAATTTACTCAATTTACGATTTTGAGACCAAAAAAGGCATTGTTTACATTGCACATTTTTAGATTAGATTGACATTGGTGTCGATTCTAGCATGATTCTCTAAACCTAAACTTAAATTTGACAGCAGTATATCCTTGTCATTCTCTATACAGAATGAAAAGGACAGACTGATGTTAAATTTAGTTTTAAGTTTAGAGAATCACGCCAGAATCGGCACCATTGTAAATTAGTGATGAACGAATGTCATTTTTTGAACATTCGCGAACGCGAATGTCTGGTACCGACATTGCCAATTAGGCGCCAATTGTCTAAGGCATGGTGGCAGTCTCATTCGAATTGCCGAGTTGATATGAGCTCATCCGACTGAAGTGTCAATCCGTTCGCACCGGCATTTCCGTAAACAAAACAAGTGAATTTTGAGGTTAGTGGTTGTGAGTGGTAATGGTAATAGTGATTTATTAACATGAGTAAATCGAATTCTAGTGAAACATGAACTTATTTCACACTTTGCGATGCTGAACGAGCTAAATGCAAACTGTGTTACAATGAATATTCAAGGAAAGGCAGAACTACAACTTATTCAAATTGTTTTTTTCTAATATTCATATTCGTAAAACATTCGCAGAGATTTTGCGAATGCGAATATTCAAAAATATGCGAATATTCGCGAATGCGAATATTCGTTACATCACTATTGTAAATAGGTAATATTGTAGTACGACCATTTCTTTTGATACGTTATTATGGTTCAACTCGGTCAGGTTTTCTACCAATTTTGAATTAATTGCTTCATGTCAATGAGTTATTGTTTCTATTCCGTTACATATTTTTTTACCTTTTTTCAGGAAAATCAGAGAGTCGGATAGTCAACGGTTTTAAGAATGATGTAAAGTTTGAAATTCCTGGAAAACAGGCAAGGCCGACCAAAGCAAGAAATGGTCACATAAAGAACCATGGCCAGATGCTTTTAGTGAAGATACCTATCACTAATTTTACTAACTGCACATTTACAAATTGTTTCTCTAAATAAACTTTTTATGTACTATAAAATGATGTTTAATATTATTTTCTTAACAAGTGTGTTAAAAAACGTCGTATGATGATACTTGTGTGTATTGATGATTACCTAACGGCTCTGGTCTCAATGGCACCTCAGCGGTAATCACCAACATTACACACTTTTACACTATAAAGTACTATTTTATCTATAATAATTTTATTCTCATTCAAATAAATATGCTTGGCTAAACTTTTTATAAGCATAGGTACCTACTATATATAAAACAGAAACACAATACGACTGTATAGTGTGTCTT